AAAAAAAAAAAAAAACACTTAGATTCTTCCGAGAATCAGTATTAATTATTTTAAAATATGGTAACAACGTAAAATGTAAAAAGTGGTGTTCTAACATAAATCTTTTCTTAGTCCCACTTTGGACTAATAAAAACCCGAGCACCCTCATTCCCACGTCTGTGAGATTTTAACTGGCTGATTTTTAGAGTACAGTATGCTTTGTACAGTCCACGGGTGGTCCATCTGAAGCTGATGAAATGATGACACTCTTCACGTGAGAGGAAGAGAGCATCACTGTGTCCTGCAGCCCGATGCATCATCACATAATCACTTCAGTATGACACTGATGGGAGACCATCCAGCAGGAGAGTTTGAGAGAGACAGGGATCCTGTGAGCCAGGAACAGTTACACTGAATGGACTCAATCAGACAGAAAGCCTTGGGTGGCATTTGTAGAGATGTGATGCTGTCCTGGAGGAGTAGAGGAGCCAGGAAGGATGCTAACAACAACATGCCGGATGGCTGATTAATCAGGCTTCAGTGCTGAATGAAGGCAGCTGTTTGCAGTCATTGGATAATGAGATGGATGACATCATCAGCTGTCACACATTATCAGTGTTAATGAGACGCACATGTCACTATCCAATACACATACACTAACAGATGTTTATACACACACAGCTACTTGCTTACACTGACACTTGTGATACACGTGTGTTCAGGATTGTGCACAAGAATGAAGCCAAGCTGTTAATCAGTTAAATTGATGTTCATTTTTCAAATTAATTAATTAAATAATAATAATAATAACAAAAGGAAGTAGTGGTAGTAGTAATAATAATAATTTTTCAATATAAATATATTTCTTTCAAAATTGTAATGTCATTTGATGTAATTAGTAATTAAATATTTATATTAAATAAAAAATTAGATTAGAAGCATTTAATATGTTGACCCTAACTTCCAGTTATTTTATTTTCAGTATAATAATAATAAAAATACTTACAATGCTATTTAATATCATTTGATTAGAAGCATTTTAATAATAAAATGAAATTGATATTTGTAATTAAAATGTTTATTAAAATGTAAATGTTTTAAATGTTTATTAAAATACAAAAATATTATTAGACACTTTTTAATGTTTTGACTAATTTTCATTATTAATAATAATAATAGTTGTAGTATTTCAAGTTAAATGAATGTCTATACAAATTATTAACACATTAATATATTTGTAATTAAAATGTTTATATTAAAAAAGATTAGAAGCATTTTAATATTTTGACTGTATTTTTCACAGTTCAAGTCTACCGCCAGCAAAAGTGTTTCTGTTTTGGGCTTAATGGCCATGATGGCAGACGACCCGGAGCATCCCGACGTCTTCCTGCTGACTGACTCTGAGCATGGTGAGACAGCCAATCACAAGCCTTGTACTCGGACAGCAACCAATCACAAGTTTTGATCAAAGAGACATGACCTATCACCAGGGTTTGGGAGTAACGGAATACATGTAATGGCGTTACGTAATCAGGATACAAAAATCTAGTAACTATAATCCGTTACAGTCACATTAAAAAACTAAGTATTCAGATTACAGTTAGATTTTGTAAAAAAAATGGGAATACTATCAGGATTACATTTGTTTCATTTAAAATTAAATAAATTAGTATTTTGACATAATGCTATATTTTTAGCGCTGCATAGTAGAGGTCTGCATTCCGTGCATTAAATTCCCGAATAAAACGCAGTAGCGGTCGGTAACTCTGGTGTAATTTGAACGGGAGCGGGCGGTTTAACAATATCCCGTTCCCGACGTCCATTTAGAACAGCATATATGTGCTTTATTCTTATTGACCACCGGTTCAGCTTGTGCTCAGGACTGTTATGCACGCGCTGCACGCATGCTTTAAACGTCTTGCGTTTTATTTGTGTGGTCTGTGCGCAGCATGTGCATAACGATGCTCGGAGCAGGCTGTACCGGTGGTAAATATACGGCCCTCAGACAGAACAGGCAGGTTGTCGATGAGTGACAGAGCAGAATAAGGATGGAGCAAAGTGTAGATGCGCTGTCCTTGAAGGACGTTCAACTCGGTTTTGTTTATATTTTGCTTAGCCTATCATTTTAAATGAAAGATGTCGTATTTTTTCTCTGCGACACTTTTCCTACTGTGTTAACAGAAAAATGTCAAACGAATTTAGTATTTTGACAAGACGAATAAAAATAGCTAATAGGCTATTTTTGTACAACCTACTTTTTTTTTTTTACT